CCGATTGATCACAGTGTTGTAAGAACCACTAGGTTTCTTCAGAGCTGCTTCAATCTTGATTTTGAGGTCATCCTTGTCAATGGAGCAGCCATTGTCTACAACCTGGCAGTATCGGTCATCCCATTCAGGTAGAGGATATAGTTTTGATCTATTGTCCGGTGGAGGCCAGCTGAGTTTTTTAGCCTCGTCACAAAACCAGAGCCAAGCTTTGAGATAAAGGTTTATATACCAGTATTCATCTTCAAGGTTGACTTTGCACATCTTTGGATCGAGCGGATGTTGAGTTTTCCTTGTACCCTTGAGGTACAACAGTGTCATCTTAATTTTACCTTCACGTTTTGGCGCCGGTACAGTCTTTGAAGGTTTTGGTTGAAGAACAGCTCTTTTGATTGGAGGATTTGGCAAGTTTGTCCGATTCTTTGTAGTTAAGATGCGTGCAAGTTCCTCAGCTTGGCAAGAGCTAAAATCAGTAGAGTTGGAGCTTGACAAGTGTTGAACAGGTCCGGGAAAAGATAAAGCTGCTGGCGAGGTCACAATGTTTGACATGAATAGGTGGGCTGGAAGTTCATTTGGGTTGGCTGTGTTAGGAGTCAGCGGCTGGACAGGTTGTTTGGGTGCTGGAAGACTTGAAGAAGCAACAACTTGTGAGGTGTTCGAAGATAAAGCAAAAGGTGTCCTTGAACATGCGCTACAATGTATACCTTCAAGATATTTATAAACTACTCCGCATAAGTGACAGTATGGAGATTCACAGTTGGTTCCGTTATGAGCTTCGCGCCATTGACAACGACCGCAGTTTGGATCTGTCTTAGGTCTCAGTGGGAAGTCGCGTCCACAGTCAGGACATGGTGGTTGGCTGTCCATTGAGGAAAAGGTATTCATTTGAGAGGATGGCTTGTGTCTGAGAATTCCCTTGGATGAGAGTTTGCTCAAGAAGGAAGAGTTTGGGTGTTTAAGAGACGCATAGGTTCTGGGGAGGGAGGATGGACATATTTCTGCAGGCAGTCATTGAATTCACATGACAAGGCAAGGGGCAACTACGCGTAGTTCACTGGTATGCTAGGCCTTTGTACAAAAGAACCATTATAAACCATCTTTAGTAGTGAAGATTTGGCCTACAATAGCCATGATGATCTTTAAGGATGCATTAGATGGGATAATGATTGAACTTTGAGGTGATTGGAAGTGAGTCATGTTTTCACAGATCACAAACTCATAAATCACAAATCACGAATCACAAAACGTCAAGTTACAAAAAGGGGTGGCGGCGATTTCGCCTCGGGGCCACCATATAAGGGCGCAGTTTGAAATGGAAGTTAATTTTGAAGGTGCAGTTGTTAAAACAACTTTCTGGTGAATATCCGTATGAAACTCTTGATCATCTTCATTTAAATTGATTTCACTGTCAAGTAATTGTTGAATGGAAAGATTGTGATTCACCTGATTATTAGACTGAATTGGATGAGTGAAATTGTTGAAATTTGGATTTAAATCATTCGTCTGATTATTATTACTATTTAATTTGTTGTAACTCAAATTTGAAGTAGAAGAATTGAAAAGGTTTTGATTGACGGAATTATAATTTGGTTGAACTGGATTATTCATCTTTGATTGATTGATCATATTCAAAAGAAGTCCCAAAGTGTTATTGTCAATTTGATTCATACTATTTTGATTTGAGGTATTATAAGTTTGATTTGGTAAATTCAAATGACTATTATTGAATGAATGATTGTTAAAGTTGGTATGATCATTGTTCAATAAAGTTTGAGTGTTGAAATCCGTGTTAATAACACCATCGTTAATATTCAATAAGTTACTTTGATTGTTCATTAAATTACTTTGATTCATCATTAAAGAACTTTGATGGTTTGATGGAATTTGATGATTACTATTGAGTATCTGATTATTATATGTTTTACGTGAGCAACCCTGATACCCAAAACTTGTAACTGAACTCACAAACTGTACAAAACTCGGAAACTTCGAAATTAACTCGGAAATGCAACAAATAACTCAATTTTCCAGAAATCAACTCGACTTTTAACTACATTTGTATCTACTTTTGAAGCTATCTTTTGAATGAAAGCAGTATGTCCTTTTTTGAAAGTGGTATCTCGCAGTGTTTTGGGTTTTGCTGCAAATTGCATGTTGCGTGGTTGAGTGGACTACCGGATATCAACCACTCGTACAATAGGAAAACATTAATCAGAAAAAAATTGCTGATTCCAGGGAGAGCTTAAACCCCTGAAGAGCTCATGAGCTGAATACTTCAAGTGAGATGTATCTAATGTACTCTCATGTTCTCATGTTCCTATCAAATTGATATCAAATCAACTTTGTTTGGTTTTGCTTTTTGTGGGACTAAATGCCAAAAAATTGTGCACTCTTTGAATGGGTGAATGTAAATAGCACCATCCTGACATTTTGAAGAGACAAAATGCCATTGAAGAAGAGCAATTACGTGGAACTAAATGCAGGGACATGTTGCTTGCTGTTTTCACAGACATATGCAATGCTTTTCAAATGTAAGGATGCAAAAATCGACAATAAACACCACCTTGCACACATATCTATGTGTTACTAAACGCAAAAAGAAGCCAAGGGTCAAGTAAGTTGTGAAACTTGAGACACCCAAGGGACGTGAGCACCCACTATACCATGCCTGAAACTTGAGATGCGGGTTTTGTACCCATATACAAATTAAAAATTTGACCAGACCCAGTCACTTCAAAAAAGATAATCCAAGCTGTGTGGATCACATCAATATTTTTGCCCACTCCTGCACATCTATGCTCATATGGACATTGAACCTATTGAGCCTCACGGGCAAGGCCTGGACCCAGAACTGGCCAATATTCAGCGTCTGGTCAACGCCTGCCACACTTGACCACAAATTGTTTCTCACATGATTGAAATCGGACACAGCATCTCACGAAATACCCTCTCTCGCCGTATCTCACATCTTGGCCTGAGCACAGCTGCTCCTTGTCTCACACCACTTCAAAAAACAGCCGCTACTCCTCTCATTTGCCAATGCCATTGGATGTCCTACGGCCTAGATGATACTGTCAGCGAAATTAGTAATGCATATAGGATCCCTATCATCCAAAAGGTTTTAATTAATATGTCTCAGGAGCTTGGCTGGAATTGGCGTCGTGGACTTACAAACCGGTGCTATTACTCATGACGAGCTTAGAGACATGATTCATCACCAGATAGAAGAACGCGACAGAGATGCCAGAGTATGCACAATGAAGCATGCGCTTGGCCTATGTCAGGTCCGAGTCCATCGCGACACCATTGCCATGATAATGAGAGAGCTGGACCCGGAAGGAGTCGCACTTCGTGGCTCTGGAGTGCTCAAACGACGAGTCTTTCACTGCCCTGGACCAAATTTTGTCTGGTCTGCCGATGGCCATGACAAGCTCAAGCCGAATGGGATCACCCTCTATGGATTCATTGACGCTTGGTCCCGCCGGGTCCTACACTGCGATGTTGGTATAAGCAATAATGATCCTTGAATGATTGCATATCAGTATCTTTTGATTGTCAAAAAAGCTGGAGGATTCCCTGTCCAGACCTGCACCAACCATGGGACCGAAACTATTGGGATGGCTGGTCTGCAGATTCACTTCAGCCGCAAAGATCTTGTTTTAGAACCTGCAGATGCAGTCAGGGCACATATATTCACTACGTCCACAAAAAATCTCAAGATTGAGTCATTATGGAGACTCCTGCGGAGACGCAATGGCCTGCGTATCCACGACAGAATTCAAGAAGCTATTGATGACCAACGCTACAATCCTTATGATCCACTAGAAAAGTCAGTTTGTCTGTTATTCTGTTTTTTTAGTTATTTTCAAGTTATATTTTCTTAAGTTACAACTCCAAATTAACAAACACTTGCAAAATCCCATCAGACTACACCACAAAACCATCAAAACGGTTTTTTTACCGGAGGTGAACTTCGGTTAAAAAACTGATTTTCTCTGGTGGGGCCAAACCTTTAGCAAACACCTTCAGCACATCGTTTAAAACCCGATATTGGGATATACAGTTCAAAACCTGCTTTTTAGCGGTTATTTTCCTGCTCACAGGTCAGAAAATTGGCGCCGGGCAAATTTTACTCGCCAGATTCTCACATTGTTTATAATCCGGTAGCTCACTTCTATAAAGGACATTAACACCAATTGAATTACCGACATAAAACTATAACTACTGCTACATTAATAATAAATCAGATAGACAAAATTTGCA